AGGCGGAATGCCGCCAAACCAACAAACCACAACAAGGCGGAATGCCGCCAAACAAACAAAAACAGAGGTGAAAACAATTTCGCGAAAACAGATGCGCAGACTCAAAAAAATTGATATCGGCTTCCAACTTAAAAAACAAAGATTTTATATTAAAAACACTAGAATTAGGTCCGGGGCATCAAATTTGTGCAGCCTGAGAAAAAGTATTGAATTTCAGACGCTTTGGACATAACTTCCGTAAGTTCGATAACTATTTTGGACATAACTTCCGACAACTCTTATAACTAAGTTATAAGTAGCCTAACTTTCGGATAGAACTTAAGGAACTTAACCAAGTTAACAAAGTTAAAACCATACTTATCCAAGTTAAAACCATACTTAAGATACTTATAACTTCTCTAACTAGGGGAGCCCCTCACTGGGCCAAGGAAAAACAACCATGGGTCGAAGCTGGGCTTTCTGACGCCGTGTTGCCGTTGACTGTGTGCGCCAACCGGTTTCGCTCCTGCAACGGTTGCGAGGGTTGAAGGAGAAGCACAAAGGACACAAAGAAGGATCCTCCAATGCTTCCGGTTCAGTGCATTGTTGTTGTTTGCTTCCGCTCGCCTTGTTTGACAACGAGTTTGGGTGGTATGCCCAAGGAGCCTCAGCAGCAAATAAAACACTTGAGCGCTACCCTCTCCGGAAAAAAATGTGCTGTGGCCCTGACTTGCCCATCTGCGAGCCACGATGCTCGCGAGGGAGGCCGCGTGGAGGCAGGGGCCAAACCGTTGCGGCGCACTCTGGTTTGGCGCATGAAGCTCCTGCCCGCGGTAACAGGGTACAAGAGCTCGGCGATTGCGGCGGTGACAAAGAAGTCGAACCGCCGTGCAAACCTGGACTGGCAAAATTCTGGTCTGTGTTCTGGCACATGGACCAACTTCAGTCCTGGTATGTGTTCTGGCATGTATTGGAACATTTGTTCTGCCATCAAAGAAATTCTGGCATTCAAACGGGCGCAAAATCAGGCTCTTATCTGGTATATACTCGGGGTATCCCTGGTGATAGATGTGTTGCATGCTTAACCGGGAATTCTAAAGAGAAATTGTGTCTATGAAGTGACTTGTAAGTGATTTAAAAAAACCTTTATGAAAAGGGAATCCAGGTGTTACCACGAAATAGCACCCCTGACGCACGCGCAAAAAAAAACACGCAATCCCCACAAGCTGCCGCAACCTGGTGTGTGAATCAGCTTCGGGGGCGTGCCTTGTGTTGCGAAGCCATGGACGGCACCTGTGGCAGAACCGCGGTTCCGGCGGAACACAAATGAATGCAACGACATTGAGTGCAAAGCCACGTTCGGCCTCGAAGCTCCAAATAGTCCACGGGCGTGCGAACTGACTACAGCAAGCTTTCAATCGCCAAAGGCAAGTCTGACTGTAGGAAGGCATGTCCGACTGTAGGAGCTGGTGGGTGGACAAGTTTTCGATGTCAAGCGCTTTTCTATCTTGCTCAAACTGAAAGGGGCCAATGGCCTCCTTTGTTCGTCCATGGCTACAATACACCAGGAATGCAGTGCACTGTGACGCCACAAGTATTGCGCCTGCGCTTTGCACACATCGGATGAGGAAAGCCAAATGCATGTCAATGTGGGGACGAAGGGTCGGATACACGGCGCTAAAAGAAAACATCCAGCTGCCGCCCCCCAGTGTCCCACTTTCAGAATGCAATGCTGTAGGGTGGGAAGTTCTGGTTCGTGGACGGGGTGTGGCTTTCCCACGCTATTATGCACCAGGAAGGCAGTGCACAGTGGCGCCACTGGCGCACATTGGATGGGAAAAGCCTGATGGTCAACTGGAGGATGAAACACTGCATACCCGGTGGTTTATGGACACATCCAGCTTGTGCCCCTTCTAACCCAACAGACTAATGAAAGAAAAGACTTGAGAACATCAATGGATCAATATTAAAGATCTCCCATGACCTCCAATGGAAGCTTAGTGGGAGGCTAGTGTGGTAGAGTTGTAAACATCAAAATAACTAAATATAAATACGGTTTACTCACAAACTTAAATATGTTGCTTTGACCCGTCCCAGTGCATGAATCTTGGTCAAAATCCTACCTCTTCCCTGGTTGGTGTGCCTAAGGGCTACAGGTTACGTACTGCACACGAAAAAACCGACCGGGCATCGGTTTTGGTGACACCTACCGAACTACCGCGACCTTCCCACCAGATCCATTGGGATGACCCCATACCATCCATGATCCACTGACTCTACCTGACCCCCTAATAGCCTCTTTCCAGAGGAATCGACCGAACTGTCCAGCTGTTCTTGTTTAGTGGGGTGTCCCCGATTCCCCCCCCCAAACAAGGTTAAAGGTTATAGACATTTTATCCACATGTTCATGGGTGGGAAAAAGGAACTCCTCCATGATCGGTTCGTTTCTAATCTATAATCCCCCCCACCGCGTCAGGGCTGCGATCGAGATGCCAAGTTTTGAGGATCAACCTCAGCAAAGAAAGAGATGTCTCGCTAACGCAGGACGGACTTGCTGCGTTCGTCTTGGATGTGATTCATGGTGATTCGGACGCCGGGAAAAGAGTAAAGTGTTGTTGTTTGGAAACAGCAGTAGTTTGGCATACTTAGGAAAATGCAGGTATTCCCCATGCCGATTCACCCAGTTCGGGAAAATATCACCTGATCTGCAATCACCTTCTCACAAGGTACGACTGGAGTCCCTATAGGGATTAAACTGCCAAGCTGCAGGATCCAATGAGAACAAAGGCTCCCTGCAGGCGGTGCGTCGCACCTGGAGTGGATGGATGGAGATGGATCATGCGCAAAAATGAGGACTTCGCCCTCCGCCCTCACGCGCCTTGCCATTTGAGGCTTCAAATTAGCAAACATATAGCTCTATAGCTTCATCTATACACCACCCAGCTGTAGTACAATGGAAAAGAACTATCCTTGACTCATCCTCATCCACGATCCCACAAAAAGAAGAAGACTCAATTAAACACACAATATCTTCTGACCAGAAAAACAACACATCGACAAAAACACAAAGCAAAAAACACAATAAATAAAACAACACATCTAATACAATATACTAATACAATATAGCCTCCAGATCCAACAAACATACTCTAAAATAGATCTGCCTTGAGTGCGAGCATGAGGTACTCCAAATTCACCGACGCTGAAGGCTCCAAGGTCGAGGCGATCCGCACCTTAGACGAGCAGCGATCGAGGCGTACGGTGGGTCGTCCGGTGTGTTCCAAAGGGGCACCAAGTAGGGTTGGAAGCACCCAAGCTGAATGAAGCATGTTAAGGCCACTATAGACTACTATGCTACACATATCTACACATAGTTCTTGACTTTTCAGAAAGGCTGCAATTAGGTTGGAAGGAGCACAAGACTGAAGCTTACTAGGCTAGAATGCTTACTTTTCAGAAGTTCAATGTGAACTAGCTGAGGTAAACTTAAAGACACCAAAAGCAATGAGCCTCTTCTCCCTTACATGTCAACATTGTGCTGAGGTCTGAGATCAGACCTGCCGCTTGGAGTGTCTTTCCTGTAGTCCCTCCTGCTTTTGGAGCAAACAATTCAACATGGTCCTGACAAATTCAATATGATTCATACAAAGGGATGCCAAGAACACTCCTTTCGTTTTGTCCTGATCCATCTTCATATCTACTCGTCATGATTGGTCCTGTTCCTTTGAACCTCTTTCTGGCAAAACAATGGATAAAGAAGCTAAAGCCTGCGTCATAAATCACAAGGAAACTTCCAAGACCATTTGGACAATGGTTGACCTTGTATTGTAGTATCTTGTGAAACATAAACAAACCACAAAGCAAAGTCCCTCTGGCAGCTAAGTATTCCGCGCCCAACACCTCCTCCAAGCTTCAACAGCACCAACCTGAGCTAGTCCCAGGCACCGTGCGAGACGCCTCATCCAGAACCAAGCCTCAGTGTGTGGGAGTGACGAACATCGTCATGGACAAATCAAGTATAGTGAATTAGGTGATCATCCAGGACGAGAACCATGTCTTCCATGTCTTCGGTGCACACCACCGCTTGCGAGCTTTTTCGCATCCACTTACTTCCAAGTCGTTCAAAGCCCGGTCCCAAAGTACACAACTGCTCAGGGTTCCTTCCTTCGAGTCTCTCGGCGCCGGGGATTCGCGGCGCCATGAATCGTATGAACCTGACTCCCTCACTGGACAACAGAAAATGACCAACTGTCCACCTTGTGATCGCATGTGGTGACCTGCATGTGATCCACAACTTGCCGAAACTGTCACTGGGGCCTCTGGATACACACACGGGACCCAAGTGGCTGCAAAGGCCCTGTGGCACTGGTTCGCAGCCCAGCTTGGCAGCGATGATGCTGTTCTTGGGCACCTCGCGCGGTTCCGCGAGCACGCGTGAGCCGTGCATGCTGCGTGGTGAGTTTCTCTGTCTATGGATGTGCGGGGCTCCTATACCTGGGCAGCAGAAATCAAGGACATGAATTGGAAGGAATAGCTGAATAGGACCCCCCTCGCTCAAAGAAGAACAAATACATCCACAAACGCACCAAGAACCACCTGCATGAAGTGCAGGTTTGTTGGAAGGGGACTAAGGGGACAAAGGAACCTGAACCCCAAAAACAATATCTGTTGTTCTGGTTCCTCGTGATCATTGTGTCCTTCATTTGGAACAATAAAACCCATACCCTAGGGCTCCCAGGACCTTCTTGGAAGGTGGGACTGGGGTGGGTTTGGACCTTGTAAGGAGGTACCTGGAGCCCTAGGGATCATATACAATATACACCTCTCTTTCTTCACGTCTTGTGGGCTCAAAGAGGCCCTATCTATCACATCCTATCGCCCTATCGCGATGAATCCCTGTGTTTCCAGAGTGGCGTCACGCAGTGGATCCACACCGGGTGTCACCGAGGCCATGAACACCGAGGCCAGGTGACAAGAAACCTGAACATGGTCAACAGCTACCACGGTGGACAGGGGCGGACAGGGGTGCCATGACACACAGCCAGTTGCTTCCCATCTACTCCCGACTGTTGTCAGCAGTATGTGTTGTCACCCAAGCCACGCTCTCGTGGCGCCATCCAATCTGATATTCGAGGCGGTTCTCCAACTTCTTCTGCCTGGACCATGGCATGCGGCGTCACCATTTCTTGGCAATGCAAAGCCAAACAAACACAAACATGCCAGCACCATGGAAAGGGTGGTTATTGGATGGTAATAGTAGTAATAGACCACCCTTTCCGTGGTGCTGGTGGTTGTCCAGGCTCTGTACATTCCAACTTGCTTGGGACTGGAGTATCCTGCAAATACACGTCAGGCAAATCTGGAACGAAGAACCAACAACAGGAGCAGTTAACATCTGAGATAAGGAGGAGTATCCCGTGAATCAAGAGACTGTCAGTTGATCTGAAGGAAACAGAACTAACAAAAGGCAAACAGCACGAGTGATTGACATCGCTGGGTTTTCGTTTTGCCCACAACATACGGTTTAAAAGGCCAAGTTTAAGGATGTTTAAGGCTAAGGCAACAATGCTTCAATGGTTTCCCTGGAATGCCCTGGAATATGATTGACTTGCCTCTTGTTTTCCACCCAAACTTCTGGTTACATTGGCAGTCCATATATGATTTGCTGACTCACTCTCGCTAGAATCCAACCCTCAAGCTGGATATGACCAAATCGCTCAGCGAGTGTGGTAGGATCCAAAGAAAAAAACAGGGAGAACTCACGAGAATCCAGATTTGTATTTGTTTTGCCAGTGTCCGGTCGAAGCAGCATCTCATGACAAAGCATCTTCAACGTAAAAGGGAAAGAATTTGCAACAAAGCAACCCACAAGTGCTCACAAACAAGAAGTGCAAAAATACCTTTGCTCCGGAAAAAAATAAAGAATCCTTCACTGCTTGAGATGTCTCCATGTTCCGGTCCTTGGTTTTTGTTGAAGTAGCGAGTTAGCTGTTCTTACATCATGTTGATGCAAGTTGTGCAGGAATCTATCTGCTTGCCTGGTCTACGGATGTGTAAGGAATTGTGATGCCAAATTTTGAATGAAGCCTTTTGCTGTTGAATGCTTTTGATCTTCTGTCAACACAGAATTGAACGGTCCACTGTCTCAAAACGCTCTTGGTGGTTGCGACCACTAGCACTAGGAAACAACAAAGAACACAACCCCACCAGCAACATGAAGCAGGCAGCCAACCACACTAACACTTAAATAAGTACACACACACTTACAAAACATGCACGTACGATGTACTAGTACGGTCTGAATGCTCAAGCCTGGACTGTAAACGAAACCTGAAGGCCAAAAACTGCCTATGATTCCAAGGTGCACACACACACACACACCACTGTCACACCACCCACTGTCGCGCCTCTGCTCCTCGGCGTTCTTCTCGTCCTTCTCCTGTGCATCCTGGAAATACGCGGAAACACATCCCGTCTGCAAGCAGCAAAATACCCTGCGACCAATAGTCATGATGATTGCGTTGAACCCTTATTGGAATGCTCAATCTGACCCATATATATAATGTGTATCGTATATATGTGATTATAAATGTTTGTTGATGTTTGTTGTAACTATAGCAACTGGTAAAGCAGACTGATTCGGTTTGTCCACGGCATCCAAGCCTAATCCTAAGGCCCTAGGGGCCGGGGCCCAGGAGGAAATCCCATCGCAGTGCCTTTTTCTCTGACCCGGGTCGAATGGCACGTGGGTCGCACTGCTTTCCACAGCAAGCCACATGGATGGACCAGGGTCCAGGGTGGGTGTCCTTCACCCCGAAAGGGCGTGGAAGTCTCGGTCTCGGTCGGGTGGGGGAGGGTCAGAAGACCAGGGGCCAATTCGCACGGAAGACCACGCGCAGACCGGGTGATGCCTTCGGAAGGTCCGGAAAAACGTACCAGTTCCACTCCCTGGGACAGTCCTGCGCTAAAAAACCCTGACCACCATCAGACTGCCACCCACACAAATTTCCCCCTCTTTCTGAGCAAATTCGTTGGTGGGCACGTGGGCAGGTTGGCAGGCCCAATCAGTTCTTGTTTTTGCATCCTGGGGAAGAAGTGGATCGTAGCTACCCTAGCCCTAGCGTTCCAAGATGGAAGCATGCTGACCTGGGTTTTGTAGCAAAATGTTCTAGTAACATAAAATCATGCTTCTTTGGTGAAACCCTAGACTATACTCCATTCCGTTCATGGTGGGTGGAATCCAACGTAGGCTAGTACCAGTCTGGTGCGCGTCTCACCTGGAGCACGATCTGCGCCATGCACTCGGCATGCACAAGTCGATGATCCTCGAGTTGAGCGAGTCTGGAACTCGTCGTGCAGTACGTACATCTGTTGGCAAAAGAGGGTGCTCAGATACTATGGAGACATATCAAGACGCATTTGATATAACATCCAATGGGTTGTGGAGGAGGGTGCTGATATAACAATTGATATACGTGATATAACCCGTTTGGGCTCCTGGCCGCGCCCTCCGTTTCAATCATGGTTGGGGTGGGTGCCACGGGGTCGAATGTCACCTTCTGAGGAGATGGGCCAGGAGCCCTAAGTTGTTGTTGATTTCCGCAACGCTCCCATCTTCTTTTCTACATCCTAAGTGATGGAACTTTGGCACGGAATAATCGATCCACATATATCCACATGACATACCATCCAACCGCGCTTCCATCCCTATGGATCCACATAACTTCTGAGATGGTGATTGGAGACTATTTGGCTTGGAGGTCCCAAGGTATGTGGACCCTAGAGCATGGGTTTAAAGTTCTAAACTTTGATGCTAAGACCAATATAAAACAGCTAAAACTCCAATAAGCATGGTCTTAATATATTGGTCTTGATAATTAATATATTAGTTCCCTCTCCACATAGGACAGTGACAGATGTGGACAATTCTCGGACCCACATCTGACGGTGGACCCTCAGAATGTGCGGTCGCGAGCGCCAGCGCTTGCGCTGCCGTGATGGTTCTAATGAATGGGACCAAGGGGAGAAGTCTGGATTAGGGAATCAACTGGGGAATCTGACAAGTGATTATATCGAATAGGTTCCAGCTATACCCAGTTCGGGTCCAGGTACCTCCTTTTCGGATGGTCTTGGAGGTGAGTACGTACTTAGAATGGTCTAGTTTGGGACCAAAGGATGTCCGATTCGGATATCTCAGGATGGTCGTGGACCCTTAGGGATAGATCATGGTTGATCATAGTTGATAGATGTTGATAAATCAGAATGGCTGTGGGTCATGGCACTTGGAACCACCAAAACATCCCCCAGACCGCAGGTTGGCGTCCCACTTATCCGGGTCGGTGAGGTCGGAAAAACTTTAGAGTTCCTTTTCAGATGGTCCACCGATCGGTTATTCCGTGACCCATGACTGATCTCCCCCCAGCTCCAGGAAGCTCCAAGACCTGTGGGGCCTCAGAGGCCTTTCTCCGCGGAGTCGTCGACCCAAGCGACCAGGTTAGGTGTCGACCCCTCCCAGGCGATGGTTGAGGGTGTGCCGGCGCGCCACCAAGCCACACCCACAGGGCTGCTTGAAGTCGGGTTGCCCTCCCCGACGGTCGTTCTCCCCACCCGACAGCTGTCGTCCTTCTCCTCGGGTCTGTAAGCGGTCTCCCCAACCGGAAGGCCACACTGGCAGCAAAGGTGGACCTCCTCCCCATCGGAGTCTACCTCCTTAGTGCGAGCCGCAGTTGGAGGGGGAGGAATATGGGGGAAAGGAGGAAAACATCGCTGGAGAATTGGAAGTTCTGAGTGTGGCAGGACATGGAGGGTTTGGATGGAGGTTCGTGAGCAAAAAGTCTGCAATCTCTAAAAAGGCCTGAAGCAACCCTAGGGATCCACTGCCACCTTCTCAGAAGGTACTTGGGCCCTCCTGGCGCCTAAATAAATAGTCTCCAATCACTGTACCTGAGAAGGTAGGACTGGATCCCTATAGGGCAAGAAATCCAAGTGAATTCAATCTCCAAACTCCATCTTCGAAAAAGGACAACACCCCAGCTGAATCACTCTCCGCCTCAAAAGTCGCGCAAAGCTGCCCGCCCAACTGGCGCGTGAGTCTCTTTGCATTGGGTTGGCATCCCATGGATGATGAAAACCACCGGTTCCAATTGACACCCTGGTTCTTGACTAAGAACCAGGATCCATGGGATCCAGAACCTTTTTGCGGATCAAACTTGAGGCCGAGGGTAGGTGACGAAAGCTGGCAGGGATGCATCCGTGTCAGTGGAGGAAGCATACAGCGCCGTCCAGTGATAAAGGATTGGTGGGACATCAAGCGGAGTGAGGCAATATTTTTTCATAGGCATGGGGCTGTTGGAGGGATGATTCACAAGGTCTCGCTCATGAGGTAAAACGTTGTGAACATGTAAGACACAGGGACAGCAATGACACAGCCAACCATAGCTTGTGAATCTGTTGAATCTGTTGCATCGTATCCCAAAAACCTCCACGGAGGAGTTGAACAAAAGTGGAGGCGTCCCAGGGGGGAGTTGAACCCGCGGGGGGGGGCCCTCCACATATGAAGTTTTTACGTGATGCGGCGATCTCGAGGATTCCAGCCCCTCACTTGCTAAAGCAAGGATAACTCCAGCTAGCTGATGCTAGCTTTCGTGACAAACACTGCCGTACCGTCAACTCTTCTGGGCACTTGATCTTGTATAGTGCCTTTGCTGGTCGGTGTACAGTACCTTTTTCTGGCTCTCAAAGCGCACTCGCAGCCGGTGCATGCTCTTCGAGCAATCACGCCATGCTCCAAAAACTACTGGCCAAGGGTCTTTACATAGCCAATGCCAGCGACGGCACAGAACAATTTAAGATTCGTAAGGTCTTTTACCACCACAATTTTTGTGTTTGTGGTTGTCAAGCTTAAATGAACTTCCATGCGATAGCCCCAAACTGTTGCAGAGATCACTGTGAGTTGTGACCTTGCGGTTTGTGGTGCTGCGGAAATGTCAAGTTGACACCACAAACCGTTCCGGTGCTTCTCAAACCATTTTTTCAATTCTTTGGTGCTCCAACCTTTTCGTCGGTGAAAGTCTTGGACTTCTTTGCCCAAGGCATAGCCCTCAGCAGACGCTTGTGCCGAGGCCATTTCCAGAAGCTTATCCATACATGCTCTTTTTTCTTCTTTTGACAGACCGCGTTCCAAATTGGGATGGAAAATGCTGTAGATGTTGTCCATCGCACGCAACTGAACACTCCTCTCTTCCGTGGCCCATCTCCCTCCTCCAGGGAGCCTCTGCATGCTGCACGGGGCAAAGGCACTGTGTGGTCCTTCTTCAACCAACCAAATTCCCATCAAAGACACCACCAAAGCTTGGGACCAGGTTCGCTGCGTCAGGGCCATCGCCTTCGGAACTGGACTATGGATACTATGGATACGCTGGTACGGTACCTTGAGAAGACAAGCACGAACATCAACCAACCAAATTCCTATCTAATCTACTACCGATGCATCCCCACAGGTGACTAACACTTTTGGTTCATGCCCAACATAGTCATGAAGCACTCCAAACAAAGATCTGGCTTAAATCTATTTGGGGCTTGAGTCCCGATGTGCCTGCTTGAGAATGACTCCAGCAACTTCTTGCGAGCCCTATGTCCTGAAACCCTTCGTGTATAGTTATCCATGTGGTTGCACATGATCTTTCAGCTGCACTTCGCTGACACTCCAGGTCATTCTGCATATAAAACCTCTCAAACCTACCACACGGACTTGGAAAACCAGGAACTTTCTCGGCTCTCCTTCCACTCCCACCACTCACGGCTACCAAGAAGCGCTGTCCTTCTTAGCCTTACGAATGCCACGGTTGGGCGCTGGCACCGCCATCTCTTTGGTCAAGAAGTCCTGCTGCGCCACCTGACGACAGCAGCGGCATCACGACTGCACGAGGAATCGGTGGTGTGTCCGGTGCGTCTGGTGCAGTGGACTGGGTTCGTCGAGTCCATCGTCCGAACGATGGAAAAGCGGCCACATGGCTTTATACATGAAAGGCCACATGCTCAACCAGACAACCAGCAAAAGGGCAGAAAAAAAATTGCACAGTTGGAAAATCCAGGTATATCATGAATCTGTAAGCGTGATGTATACCACCCCATAATTCAGCACATGTCATATATATATATATGCATGGTTTGGCTGGGAGTTGGAAACACGTGCCTGATGTTCTTGTTTTTCTTCTCCCCACTGCTGTTGTTAGGGATTGTCGTCGGAGTGGTACCTCGTGAAGTAAACTCACAGGCTTCAGTATATTCTTGGTTGATCTGATTGGGATGCACAATGCACATTTCACGACATCTGAGGGAATCAAAACGGGTGATCGCCAATAGTCCAAAATTCTACAATTGTCCCAAGAAAACAGCGCAAAAGTGTATAGAGAATGGCCAAGTCCAAATGAAGATCCGAAAGTGGCGATTCGGGATGTAGGGGAGGGCCGCTCCAAAGGCAACAACTTGTTCCAAACTCTCCAAAGGTTGCATGGGGTCCGCAACCAATGTTGAGAGTAAATCGATCGCGATCGACACATGAGCGGCCGCGAACAGAAAACCAAGCTTCATCCGCCACCAATGGCAAGTTCCGTCAGTTCTATGGCACTTGTTTTCTTATACGAGTTCCCTCCACAGCAGGTAATGACCGAGCACAAACGTCCAGTTAGACAAATTCAGCCATTCCGCCAGCACCCGCGCTATAGCGGCCAAATTCCCGGCCGCGCCTCCCCGCGCGACTTGGGCGTGAACCAGGGGAACGCCTTCCTTAGAGCGAGCGATTTCAGCACGCCTTCCGAGAGCTAACAGCGAGTGAAGCGAGTCACCGCTGCGATGGGCTCGTGGGAGGGCCGTTTGAGCTCCAGGCCGATTTTTAAAAAAATGAGCAATGCCAGAACAAATGCCGAGAGAAGTCTAGCTGTTTTTGTTGCAGAGCTGTTTTAAGCTGTTTTAAGAGGCTTGTGGATTGGTTTCGACCACATACAACATGGTAAACTGATATAGGTAGGGACCTGTAGTTGATTTTCCTTTCCAGCCCTTTTTCCTTCCTTCACCATCCAACCAAGGCACCTGTTGTAGCCTGCGGGAAGGCGGGAAGAGAGAACGGAGCAAGAATGCTACTAGGCCAGATATTCATGTACCTGCTGAGCTCCGTTGAGATCTACCTCCTGAGCACCAACTATGTTCTACAGCAAGCAATCCATGGATTTGGAGAGTTCCGGAATTGGAGTTTTCAAGCTGTCATTGTAACTTCAACAGGTTTGCTTTCACGACTTACACTCCCATGGAGGTGCGGTGGGGTTTCCATTCTCTTCACTAGAGGAAACCATCGAGATTTCCCAAAGGCCATGCCATCCACTTCCATGTGATGTGCCTACAACCCGTTTGACCTCTGTTGTGATAGGAACTTGGACCATGTTTTGGCTCCAAAACAGGGGTCAATCAGGTTCTATAGGTGTTCGAAAGGGTTTGGCTCACTGAGATCCGAGCTTTTTCCTATACCCACATGAGACGGAACAAAGCGTCCCATTCTCTTGGACTCTTTTGGACTCGCTCAAAGAAGGGTGACCAGTGACCTTCCGCTCTCTGCTCTCTCCCACCAAACGGAGAGGTCCGGTGGTTTGGCCTCTCTTTAAGGAGTTCAGTGGTTTGGCTCCGTGTTCGGAGGGTGGTTTGGACCCGACTTGCCTCATGGCACCTAAATAGGGTCGACGAACACATGCACCCTCTCAGCAAATATGTGGATCCATAGAGAAAGGGATCATGGTGAGACCCAAACCAACATTTGGCTCGTCTCTACCCATCGTTGAGTTGGCCAGGACAGCTTGTTGAACGGAAGAAACCAAGCCAGGCATTTCAACCCTGCAAGCGCCAATTGTTCAATCCAAATTTCACCCCTCCAAGAACCACTGCACTTACAGCTTGACTATATACAGCTTAGTATATCAGCCAATCATGTTTTCTATCATCTACGGCTTCCTCCAAAGAAAGACGCCGAAGCACCGGCCCTTCACCACCGGACCCTTCCACCACGCGGTGCGGTCACCGAAGCACCGCGCCTCGGTAAGCGCCGTCCCGGTCCTCGGCGAACTTGGCCTCGTAGGCACGGAAGGCCTCCTGGCGGAGGTCCGTTCCGGGCGGCGAAAGGCGCGAAACGCTTAAGACGCTTGGAGGATGGAAGTGATGTTGAGAAAAAAACACTCAGAACTCAGAACTCGATTTGGATGATGGGTGGTCCTCGATTTGGATGGGTGGTCATATAGGATTCTATGTCGGAAGTCACGTTGGATATGGTCACGTTTTTTCAAAGGCCCGGTGGGCCTGGTGGGCCTGGTGAGAATACCGTCCAAAGGGTCCATCTTTAGGACGTTCGGAAGTGAGGCTTTGGGCTTTGGGTGTATACCACAAGAACTAGGATGGGCTGAGTCTGAAACATCGTAAGGGCCACAGAACTTGCAGATGGTCAAAGTCTTTGTCTTTTCTTTCCCCCCTAGCTAACTGGGGTCTGGAAGTCCAGTTCCGTTTCTCTTCGACGTATGAAGTTGGGATGAAGTCTTGCTACCGGACTGCACCCCTGCAGGTCTCCACTCGGTGGGTGAAAGTGGTCTCCCAAGCTCTCAATCCATGGGAGTAACCTCCGTTGTATTGAACCCACCAATCAATTAACAATCTAAGAGTCTAAGACATATATCTTGGGTCTATCCTATTGCCAGGGCCCACTGGGTGGTGGTTAGGTTGCAGGCCTTGTTCAAAAAAAGGCCTTGGTAGAGGCAATAGTGGACCAACCGAACATATCTCTCTCTAGATGCGGGGAGACCCCCCAAAAAAAGAGCCTGAGGATGTCAGAGCGCGAGCGCAAGCGCTGCCGGTTTCCGTTTCCACCAATGTCCCCAGTCCTTCTCTTCCTCAGTAGGCTCTTTCTCTTCCATCTTTTCGATCTCCACCGTCTCAACCTTCTCCTCAAGGATCTCCTTCACACCTTCCATTCGACATGTGGCACGTTGCTTTCGCACGCAGTGCGAAATCGCACGCAGTGCGAAATCGCCTTTTCAGCTTGCAACATGCGCGTTGCTTCATGGTGGCAGTATTGACTTGTTCGATCACATCCAAGGACCAAAATGACCCAAAGTAGGGAATCTAACCCACCATCTCAGTTCACGTTCAGAACATGACCTTGTTATATAGTTTTCTCACTCTTGTCACTCTTGTCAAGACCTAACAAAAGACATATATCATATTATCATCATACAAGTTTGCAAACACACTGAAACGGTTTCTACAATATAGCTATAGAACATCATCATATAGTCAAACATGCCGGCTCTTGAGTTCTGAACTGGGGAACCCTCTCCTCCAGTTCTGCATCCCCCCCCCCCTAGTCCTTCGCTCTTCCGGTCTCACCGCCCTCCACCGGAGTCGCGTACGACCACTGCCCGGTGGCGCACGACCGGTGGCGCGCACGACCGGTGCCCGTCCGGCCACCTTCAGAGTCGCGACTCTCTCCCTCGCTGGTGGAATCCTCGGAGACCGCGGGCAGCTCCGCCTCGGCCTCGTCTCGTCTCGGATGGGTGGGACGGATGGGTGGGACGGGCCACGTCTCGTCGTTCTAGGAAGGGTGGAGGATTCTGGGATTCATGGGGTGGTTTTAGATGCCATGTTTATAGCAGCTTTATTATATATATATATAAAGATGTATAAGGAGATATAAGGAGTAGAGATGTATCACAGCTTAGAAAGTATAGGGATTGGTGAGATCTATCACTGCTTGCTGATGATGATTTGCCTGCAATCTTTTGGGATGTCTTGTGACTTAGCCCAACACAGGAAGAAGGTTGAGGACGTAGTGCTGGCTGAGTTTGTTGAACATCATGGGTTTGGTCGGTTGCTGATACCTTCTCAAGGAGCGCCCTTGCATTTCAACAGAATTCGTTTTACTTAGTTTGCCAACTTGATCTCTTCTCACATTCAGTCAACTGAGATCCTGGAAAGTACAAACAATCCTGTTCCGACAAACTCACCACCTGATGTTCGCACCCAGCTTTCTCCGAACTCGCAGCCACCAACGCCCGCAACCCGACGCTGGCTGCGAGGCGCTCCCGGCGCCTTGCGTTCGGCCAGGAACTGAGCGAAGCGGTGGCGGCGGGGAATCTCAGCCTCGGCGCTGCTGGCTTTAGAAAGCGGGTGGGGCCAGCGGCGAAGGGCCTGGAAAGCCCGAAAAAGTGGATTCCGGTGGATTCTGGTGGGCGGTTTCCACTCAGTTGAAAAGAAAGAACATGAATGCAGTGAGTTCATTCATCCCAAGCTAAGGTTGAAACAAGCATGTTTGACATTGTTTGACATATTCTGAAAGCACCACACAGCCCTTTAATTTCAGAACACCAACTGCACTCGGCAGATTGGTTCCTTTGCGATGTAAGGAAGATGATGTAAGGAAGACTCTCACCAAAGCAACAAACCGGCGTGCCGTCGGACACATACGCTTGCAAACCAAAGAAAAGCGTGCCGTGCCTTTGCGACAAAGCATGGGGGGGTTTCGGCTGCAATTCAGCTGCAACTCAGTTTAAGCTGCATCTAGCAATCTCAAGCTTGCCTTTAGGACAAGCACTTGTCGCTTTGAGCCCTCGCTATTAGGTTTGGAGGCCATCGCTATGAAACGGAGGAGGCCGTGGCTGACTCCCATTGGCCCATTGGACTCCCCGAACGACACCAGAACGTCACCAGATGATCGGCAGCCCAGATGGACTGCAGTTGGCAAATGGCCAGCGATGTTTGTTTAATGTCCCTTTCAAGGCACCAACAAGACGCAGGCGCAGCACCTATAGGTACAAAATGGTGCTAACATGTGCAAACATTGTGTTACACATGTGTGAATGAACCCAGAAATTAAAGATCTCCTGCTGTATCTACGTCGACAGTTTTTGGTTGATCCTTTTGAGAAATTTTGAATCATAGTGGATTCCAAACCCACACACACATGTCTCAATTTCACAGAAACAAAGGATTATCAATTCACGAGATTCCCCACCATAGCCATACCCTTTGGGGGTCTTTTCTGTTAAACCGAGTCTAGTTTCCAGGTTCGTTCAAGACGCCGGGAGTTCTTGGCTCCCGCGAACCACCAGGTCCGGTGGCCCTCTCGGATCCCCGATCTTAAGCTTCAGACCATGGTGGACATTGCCTCAGCGGGTGGTCGACATGCACCAAATGGGCTTACATAAATCAATATGGACGACCCCGCGGCCCCACTGAGTAGACTGGGACCCCTTTCCCTTACCTTCCAGGGGCTGAAACTGGGAGGTCTCCCGAGCTACACAGGTACCCCAAATGGGTCTGTTTCATGATCATGAGGAGCCCTCAAGGTGGGTCAATTAGATGGGACCTCGTGATAGCCAGGTACCATCCACCTTGAGTGCGAGTACATATTGAGAGACTGAGAGAAGAGACCCACTCCCAAACGCTCCAAAGCAAATATGGCCTACTGATGTTTTGTGGTGGTAAATGTAGGCCATAGTCGCTTTGATGGAGCCTTTGGTGCTGTGCCTGCTGTGACCGCGCCATTCACCACCAAAACAGTGCCATTCAGAAGGCGATATTTGCACGTCGCGTCTGGGGCTTGCATTGAAGGGTCGTTGTGCGGAAGGTTGCAAGTACCATGGGCCAGCTACATGGGCCAGCTACTCAACCTTGCAACTTGTGAATTCTTCAATTCCACTAATCCACTGGACCCTACTCCACCTCCTCACGTGAGGAGCATGAAGGCGCCGAACACCAAAAAGGAGGCGTAGTAAGCAGCCATGCCACTACTATATAAGATTGCTTTCATCCACCGGTTTCACCGGCACTCTCAAGCGACTGGAGGTGCTGCTTATCGATTGAAGGGTACCTATAAAACAACTTCTTCCATGTGGACTCGCTCCTAAGTCCTTGAACCAGGCCCTTTCTTGGTCAAGAGCGCCATTCCTTTTTGCCGCCCCGCTTCGGTTGGTCGAGGCGTTGGCTTTGGGACATCGGACATCGCTCGGACATCTTGGATGCCAGGCGAGGACGATGGAGTCTTCGACTCATAAGTCTAAGAGGTGTCTTCGACTCTGTGCTTACTAGAATGTCAATGAATGATTTGGTAGAATTATATAGTTCATTATATTGATTCTATATAGTTTCGAGTTAGTTTCGGAGTAAGGCTTCATCGTACATGTGCAGAGCTTGCGTTATACATATCCATGAGCATTGAAGGAAGGAGCACAGTAGTCACGCACGCGAGCGAAGCGCCTGCGCCGCCGGGAACCGCGGAAACCGCGAGCGAACCGCGGTGCGACTCAGCTCTCGTCGTAGAGCACGCCGATACCCACACCGAAGCCATGGTTCAAGGTCGCGTGGCCCCAACCATCCGGCAGTAAGACCTCAGTAAGAAGGTGGAGCTCCACCCATCTCCTGTTGGCTCCAACCCGCCAACCATGTCCAACCTAGGCTCCAACCACCTCCAGAGAAGATAGTTGGGGTGGATTTTTTTGGGGGGGTCGAATACCACCTTCTGAGGATATGGGCCAGGAGCCCTAGAGTAAGAAGGTGGGGAGAGCGGAGAGCGGAGTGTTCTGCACTGCGGAGAGTGGCTGCACCACGCTGCTGCTGGGGTGACTCATAGGTTCTGGATGGAAATGTCATCGTTGGAGGAACCGCTGATTTTCCACTATTGTTGGCCACTTATCGCACAACCTGTTGGATATGTACCCAGTCAGGTACAACCAAAACGTGCTCTTCTACTGCTAATGAAATTATGTTTCTGAAATTCAGCACTTCGATCCATTTCTTCTAGGCAAAGATTCTTTGACGCTTCATGACCCTGGTGCTGCGCAGTGGCTAAATCCCCCGCATATTGTGTGCAGCGGAAGAGATGCTGCTCGTTGATCCCGGGCCTGGTGCACACAGCTCGGCGGACAGGGGTCTGGCTTGGACTTCGATGCTCCGAAGGATGGGGCTAATGTGGACTCGATTTCCGACGCGAAGGACGGCAGGTAGGACATGCATGGGTCATGATGGGCCTCCAAAAGCTCTAACATGCTGTTGTCATTCGGAACATCGCGTCAATACACTCCAAAAAGGAAGCTCTCGCTCCAAGAACAGCAAGAGGAAAGGAGTCCCAAGAGTGGACTCTGTATCCCTTGAAAGATGGTAGTCTGCAAATGTCTCCAGTACTTGCTGCCTCTGAAAAGGTGTGTGAATTGCGACATCAATCCTATTATATAAATGATATATATATACACAGTATATTATATATATTAGAAGAGAAAGATCTGCAAGGCATAAAGAATGTACTCCCAAGGAGAGTCATGTCTGCAACGGATCACTTTGCTTGTACATGTTTGAACTCTCTAAACCCGCACACCATGTGCGGTTGCTGTAGCTGGAGTCATCTCTATGGATCCACTGGACCCTCCAAGGTACGGTGATGTGTTCAACACTCTTATGTAGGTACCATCCAATCACCGTACCTCAGAAGGTGGTAGTGACTGGTAGTGGATCCATATAGGGAATCATGCTTTCATCGCCATGTGCAAGTGACTATTCCTGAATGACTTCCTGAAACCTGACTGAAATCAGAACAATTTCGCCCACACCACCACCACTACTCCCACCAGTCCCTGTTGTTCAACTGGTATACACCAGGTCTGACTCACTTACATGGAAGTGGACAACATTGGACAACTACATGTTTGCAGTAGAACATATTGTTCTCAAAGGACCTGTGACCTCTTCATGACAGGTTCCACATCTTCTCCACGAGATACCCTGGTCATACCCAAGGGGGTTGTGGAGCTCATCTGTAGACTGCAAGTGTTGCCTTCAGTGGAAAGTGCTCATATGAAGGTCATGCTCATGCATGTTCCACTTCTTACGCCACGCAGCGAGTCGGAGTGTAGATACCCCGGGAACCAAACAACCCATGCTTGAATGGTCTTTACCAAAGAGTCATTGTTTTGCGCAGGATTTGTACACTACACCACCAGGTCAATCATGTCTTTAAATGGTGGTCTTTGAAGCCCCGCAGTAGTAGCCAAAGCCATCTCTCAACCGACATACTGACCAAACCACTTCACCGTTCACGGACACCTCAATGCCGCCCCAAAACCTCCGGAAAACCTCCGACGCCCGAGCCGTACTGATACCGTCCCGTCTCGAAACCACGGACACCAACACCGACCGACCATGGCGCGCCGGTGGAAGAGCTCATAGGTGGAAATGCCACTGCGTGCTGCCAGGTAAGGCGGCGTCCTAGGCACCGGACTGAAGGCCGCGAGGAGGAGGGGTTCGCAATAGACGGAGACGGTCGTCTTGGCGGGGTCTGCTAAGCGACGTGCTAAGCGATGTGCCGATGTGCCGATGTGCTATAGCGATGTCTTGTTCTGCTTCCATCACAGAACAACATGAAAGCCACGGTTTCTTAATTTCAGGCCATTTTGTTTGAAATAATCAGATGTCAAATTAATCCAAGTTAGTTGATACTGTGAGCCTCCCACCTCAGTTTGAAGCAAACAAAGGATAACAAAGGTGGTGATGCCCCACCCCTTGCAAAAACCAAAAGCAAAAAACACAGCATTTCTCTGGGCCGCCTGGGGGGGGTCTTTCACCTGGACGACTTGATGACGCAAAGCTCAATGGACCCAGCCGAGAGACACATACCACTCCTAGCCGCGTGGCTTCGCGCGCGCGAACGCTTGGCGAACGCGATGAAGGCACATATGGCTTGGCGCTTTCACGGTCGTGCCGGTGGTTCATATCGTGAAGATTCTCAGGTTCATCGGGGCATAGCATTATTTTGTGCATCTTCGACATGCATGTTTGGACCAAATATACCGGTGATGCCCCATGGAATGGGGAATGAATGAGGTGCAGTATTCTTCTGAATTTGGCAGCGATCCCCAAGCTCCAACCAGCACGTGTGACTAGCCATGACTTCAATCTTGCATCTTGGCACGTCAAAAACCCTGAGTGAGCTTTTCAGGATCTAGTGTTCGGCAAAACAAAGAAGGGTTAAACCTGCTGCTACACACACTCCAACAACACCCTGAACCACTAAACCAAAAAAACAGAAACGTTTTGTCTTGGGCACTCCTTTATCCTTCTTCCACTTCTTCTAACCAAAAGGCTCGGTCAAACCAAGAGGTCGAAAGCCTTTGCCCATCTCAAACCCCTGCCAAATTCTCCGTCCTGTCATATTTGGATCTTCCAACTGTGCAAGATTTTTCTGCCTTTTCATCTCTAAAATCAACCCAGTTCGGCTGATCGCTTTCCACATATGAAACATGTTGCCAAATGTTTGCTGAAGGGATTGAGGGATCCATAGATCTCTTTGACTTTCTAACTATGCCACCAAAAACAACGTCGGCCTTTTCATTTCTGAAACCAGCCGTTGCTTCGGCAGATCCAGGGAGACTCCCATCGCCTTTCCACCAGCTTTCTCCCCCCTCCCCAAACACCCAACACCAGCGGTGGCCTTCTCACCGATGAAGAGCGCATTGAAGGCGCTCACGTGGTAGTGGAGGGCTGCCCCGGACTGGTCGCCGCCCCAGAAGTATTGCTTGGACAAACGGTTGATGCGCGGAAGCAACTCCTCTGACGGACGGTCGACCGGATCGTGGAACGGGTGAATTGGATGGAGAAGGAAGGAAGGTGTTCACTGACCCAACTTGGTGGTTTCCTTAAGTTGAGGCATCTCTGGATGGTTTGTCACAATCTATAACATACAAGTTGACCAGGCATGATACTACAGTTATCTACAGTTGGGTAATTACCCAGTAACCCATGGTTGTTTTGTGAGCCGCACATATTTACCATCCTGACTGCCCTCCACCAAACTCCCATCAGGGCTGGAAACTCACCAGGAAGTGTGGGATACCGACAGTGAAAAACACGCACAACTGGGCGTTAGCACAGGACTCAGGACGTTACTTTCGGTGGGCAACCGCTTGGTACAACACGTTATATATTAGACTCCTGTTGCATCTGAAGCATGTCTGACTCGTAGCGTTGGTATTTTTCTGGCAAAACAACACCATCTTGATCATCTTGAAAGACAAACTATTTGCCAAAAAAAGCACTGAGCATCTCCCAAGACAAATGGCTGATGTTCATGGACCACCCAAAGTAGTACGATCTGTCCATTGTTGACTAAACAAACCCGACCTTTAACTTTAGGCGCTTTAGATACGACGTGAGTCCAAATGACTCATTAGAAGTTTAGGGGATACGTGAAGCCATCGAAAACACCGGTCCTTGACCTTTTGAAAGGTGGGCGACAAGGTGAGGTCGTCGGTGAGGATGCCTCCGGTTCGCGAACAGATTTTCGCTGTGGCTGTGGACGGTAGAAAAACAAGTTTCTTGCAGAAACAGACTATACATGTTACATGGCATGCTGAACATACAAATTCACTTGGTGTTTCATGCGTCTACTTCCATCATCTTCCATCCTGCGGACTTTTGGGTTGCTCGGCCTAAACTTGTGGGGTCATTCCACTGAGAGGTGGGAGAAACACCGCCTCCAACAGTATACAAAAAGAGTGCCGGCTCGAATCCATCTCTATTATGTTGCCCTTCCTGAAGTCTTCTGGTCATTGGCCTATTAGAATCTACCTAAACAGTCCGGATTTACAAAGGTGTAGCCTCATCCAAGGCTACACATCCGGATTCACATGACCTGGACTGTCCTTCAAGTCGAGTGGTGGCACCAAATCGACCGGTGGCCATGGTGGCCATGGTGGCTCATGGCCATGTGTCACTCGATTTATCCCAGATATGATTAAGACTCCCACATACTGCAGACTATCCCTGGGGCTCCAGTCCTACCTTCTGAGAAAGTGGGCTTCTCCTCGCATCTTTGGCGCTTGCCGCGCCGCGCCAAACGGGATGCACTACTACGCACACTACTACGCGCCCTAGTACGCGCCTGGGTCATGCGAGGCGTGATAGTTGGAGGTGTTCCCATGCCTCACAGTGTTGGCACAGGGTTGGAGTCTTCAAAGCAAGGCATAGGACCCTCAGTGGGATCGAATGATGGATTAGATTTCTAGACTGTCCCTGGTCCATCCAGGTCCCTGACACCCCGCACTCGGTTTTCCTGAAACCACTGAATACTTCTCAAAACTAAAAGAACACGAACAACAAAAACACAATACACCTCACTATCGTTCTCTGGGATTCTGAAGCTTCCACACGCTTCAAACGGCCATCCACACCACACGCTTCATCCGCTCATCCGGATCCTCACCGGGACTGCTCCACCGGGAGCTGCTCGTTTCCTCCGAGGAGCTGCTCGCACTTGGCGCCCTTCTCGGCCTCCTCCACCGTGAACTGCTTCCTGCCCCCCCCCGGTAGCGAAGAACACCCGCGTGCGCGACGCAAGAGCGCGCGAGAGCATCGAGCACCCGCGCAAGTAGAGGACACTCCTTAAGGAATGAATAGGCAAGTACGCGAAGACAAGAATCGAAGTGGGTCCATGGTCACTTGGAAATGGCCTCCGATTTCGCATGAGCATTTTTGGAAGACCAAACAGGTGGTGCCATCCACTTTCTATGATTATGCCAGGAAGTGTATGTGAAATGGAACGAAATGGATACAATATTTAGTGTGTGATCAAGGACTTCTCAATGAAAGCTGTAGACCTGAGAGGAGTGCTGCTGTCTGAGTTCATCCAAATGACCCAATGGCACCTAATGATTGGCCGTCCAAGTGATCTTTGATAGAAAACATCCTGAAATTAAGCTAAAACAATCTCGATAATATAAAATATAAGTATCGTGAATGTCCCAATCCTTCAGGGTAATTACAGTCATTACACATGTACGTTAAAACAAACAAACAAAAGGCCGAACATGGCTGATGTTTGATCTGGAAAACAAGATGATCCTCAAATACTCAGCTCAGTGGTCGTATTTTCTTCTGTTTTCACCTATTCTCATCGGTGCCACAGGCACTCGCAGGGCTTGGCGCCGATGAGGTTCGGATAAGCGATGGGGCCCAAGTTGAAGCGCTTCGTGGCGTAGGCCTTCCACGAGCGACGAGCGGTGTGACCGGTGCGATGGATCATGATCGAAAGCGATGGATCCGATCGATCTGATGGATATTGATATAGTTTGGAATGTGACGTCAGCTATGAAGATCAGTGATTGGATGAGGGTTGAAGTTCCCAAAGGCGGTGGTTTCAGGGAGGATTCATGTGGATTCCTATGAAAAGTGTCACTTTGGTATCTAGGCAAATCCCCAGTCAGTAGTCAGTTCCTCCACTGTCTCACTACCAGGATTTCTGCAAGTTTTGTGGTTTGATGTGCTTTGTGGGTCTTCATAGGTTTCGGTTTAGTTCCACGCCATCCCCTCAATCCATAATTACTCTATCTCCCAGTCCAGAAAAGTCTCCCAGAGATCCAATGTGTTCAGCTTTTGTCCCACTCCATCCAGATCCTCCCAGTCTCCCGTTCCTGTAAGACCTTCTGCTTCTGCAACTTGCATCGATCGTCCACGCTCGCCCAGTTGCGCACCAGCACGGGGCGCCCCAAGTCCCGAAACTTATCCTCGCGGTGCCCGGTGCTTCCCGGTGCACTCAAATTGCCAACGCGTCTTGGAGGAACAAAGGCACAATTGCTGTGGCACGCCTTCACCATCTGTATTTGTTCAAACATGTTTAAACAATTTGCATGTAGGGATACACACATATACCTTCTCAGAAGGTATACTTGGACCCTCGAAGCCAAGCCTATCAATAAGAGTGTTTCCTTAAGTCATCCTTTCAAAGGGTATGTGGATCCATAGGGATTCAAACCAAACGGTCAACAAAGTTGCCCATCGATCACCCATGGGCCACATGGGTAACTTCTACCAAATCACCCTTCAATGCCCAATGCCGTTCCATCCTCCACATTGTGAGTTGGGCCAAAGCACCTCTGAGTCGTCTGCTTGTCTGCACCTGGATCTTCCAACTATTCAACATGTCTGCCGAACTTAGCCAATTTTATAGATGAAAAGCCCAACATGTTGCTCAGGCCATCAAGATCCAGGTATCTCTAGGTCATGTCTATCAAGTCCACAGGAGTCGAAGGGCTCCGTTCCGACCGAGGTCCCGGTGTTCTCGACGGAGCAGCGACCGAGGTGAAGCGCCGTTCCTCGAAGTCTTGCTGTGTCAGGCTGTCGACCACTTCGAAATCCTGGGAGTGAGCAAGCGGTCAGCGGCGCCAGGACTCACTGGTCAGAAGAGCCGATCTCGGTGGAAACAGAAGTGGGGTGAGATGAGGACTCAAGGATACTCAAGGACTGACCCTCTGGACTTTGGATTCTAGAAAGAAGCCGGCAAAATTTATCAAAGGCTTCAAGCTTGAATGGCCCAAAGCGTTTGGCAACATATGTCACTGTAAACTGTAAACAATTGAAACAAAGAAACAGCATCTGTAAGGACGTAGAAATACATTCAAGCCTATTTGATCCTACTTGTCTGGTGTAATTATATTGTATGGCTAAGAGATGCAAAGGCCTGCACTATAGTATGACAAATCGTTGATTCCAAGTGTATGGTATGACTGACCTTGTTGTCCTTTAGCCATGGCCATCCGAGTAGCCTGTGCGCACACATACCCTGGGCTTTACGAAGTCTATCTTTGTTTTCACAGTTGCTAACTTCTAACTGGTTGCCCCTATGTAGGTGCCCATGTCAAGTCAATTTGGATCAATTTATGTCAATTTGGATCAGTCCTAGCTTGGATTATGGAGAGTGCCATTTCACCTTGGGGTTGTCGAACCTTCGTCTGTATGTATTTGCTACTTTGAGACCGGTTTAGTCCGACGAGGCATTCCCCCTTCCGTCATGCAACGGCCTCGTTAGGCCCGGCTGGTGATATCCAGCCATTGACTAGAACACGTTCAAGCAAATCAAAGGGCATCTCCGATCTTGACATTGACACCTTCCAAAAGATCCCATCGGCCATCATCCACCAGGGCACACAGGCGTAGTAGTGGTCCCAAGCGGTCTCCTCATGAAAATAAATGGTCACAGCTGCTCTTCCCACAACATCCTGCGGTTTTAGCATCCTCCAAAATCCTGTTTAAGTGAGTTGGTAGCAACACCAACTTTGCATGGTCTGATCCTGAAACCACGCGTACTTGCTTCTTGAACTCAAAATATTGGAGAACTAGAGTTAATGATTCTGGAGTTCAGTTTTTGTGTGAAGGGTGATCCGTGGACATTCTTAGGCATCCCTTGAATGGTCCTGGATCACGCCTCTGATGAAGCTTTAATGCATCTCGTTCAACCGAACTGTGCTCCTCGGTCCAGCCCAAGGAGAGCTCCGGGAAGGACTCGCCATTGCCTCAAGGGAGGGAGCGGGAGGGATGAAGACCATTTCAGTCAATTGTGGAAACCACCAACTGCGCAGTTTCCGACCGATAACATGACCAACAAATACCTGCTGGAATCCACCCAGAGAGGGGGATGAAGACCATCTCTCGTATTGTGTTCAGTCTAGTCTATTAAACCCCGGAATTTGGCGGGCGTGCAAGAGAGCTCTCGTCTTTGCAGCCTCCAAAAGCAAAGTAGCGAGTCTTTAGTTCCGAGGGATCTGTCGGATCTCTACAAGTTGCTTAGTCAGATTTGGGAGAAGAGCATCTCCGAAGTCACCACCATTCTGTGAACCGCTGGGAATTGAGGAGGCGAACTGACCAACATCCTTGGGCACAAATCTTGCACAACAAGAAAGCGGTGCTGTTGCAGAAGCGGTGAGCAAACATCAAATAGTCCGCAGTAGGTAGCAGTATTTAGAATAAAATATAATATAAAAATCAATCACCATAAATAATTAACCCAAGACATCCAGATCTTTACATATGATCATATGTAAACTCCCTTTAACTTCCTCCCCTTCCCTGGCCCACTCCTCCTATACGCCACTCCTTCCTTCCCCACGGCACGGCACACGTGAGCCGCCCCGTCGGCGGCGGCCGCGCAGTGCGGTGGCGCGCGGCGCCCACGGCGGCGCCCAGCGCGGAAGACCAGGGCCAGTTGTAGACGGGGCTGCCGGGAGCACCTCGGTGGTCTGGCCGTCACAGTTTTTTGAAGGACCACAAGGACGAGCTCTTTGATGGTGGATTTGGAGGCTTGGCTTGGTGGTGATCGGTATCGGACTGCCTTTTGCGAGGAAAGGATATAAGGCTCATGAGGGAGGTGGTGCGGTGCAAATGGAGGTATGTGGTGAAGGTGGTGATCGTGTTGAGGTGGGGGGGGAGCGGGAGGTGTTGAATGAGAAGCTCTGAGTGGGTTGGGAACACTCGATTGTTTAAATCATAAGACTTGTGCTACCACTTCAAGGAACTCGCTCTGTTGCATCTAAAGCTAAATAAGGCAGGATCAGTGGATCAGTGATTTACTTAATTATGTTCAAACGCGTTTGACTTGCAAAGCTGACCACAAGTTGACGTGGTTATGAGCCCCACTCAGCACAATCTGAAAGGATTGAAATGGCAATCTTCACCCTCCATAACATACGTGTTTCCAGGTGACGACAGGTGCCCATAAACCGCCAACCAACCTTGGAAGGTCGTGGTAGTGAAAAAGGCAGAACTTCGTTCCCTCCCTCCATCACCCCACAAAAACCCGTAGCACGTCGCTCGTTCGCCCTCCCGAGGTGCTCACGTAGTCCAGGACGGTCCGCTGTCGTGTGTCGATGGGCTCACCATGCCGACTGGTAGGGAGGATGGCATTGACCAAGTCCTTGGACCGGTGGACCGAACGACGTGGGTGAAGCCATTGGTGAAGAACATTGAAGAATAAGACTGATGAAGGCACCACCGCGGTGCCCTGATTTTTACTTTTTTTTTTGTTCAAATGCCTGTTCAAGCTTAAGTTCTTCCTCTGCATCACCTGTCGTTGACACGGGTAAGACTTTATAGCTGCAGTGTTCTTGCATCAACCACAAACAACAGTAGTAGCCAGCCTACAGCAGTCGCCCACTGGCAAATGTCCTCATCTGCCATGCAGCTCCAAGACATGCTTCATGGGTCAAGCACATGGCCCCAAACAAACGATGTGTTTCTTCCACCGACGCCCTCTTTCCACTCCACCCACGCCTGAGGAGTCGAGGGTTGACTCACCTCACTCCCTCCCGTTTAGGCCCAAAAGGCGGCGTGGCCCATCCACACGGCCAGCTGAACCAGATTCTTCCCCACTGCATGGGTCCAACGTCCCGTGAAGCCTCAATGAAGCACGGGCAGTTCACGGTCGGCGCCGGCGTTTGGGTTCCTTTTTCGGGGGGGTGGATGGGAAGAGGCCACTGTGAGGACAGAATCTTAAGTAGCTGAAAACATACTGTGAGACACCTGTTTAAACAAATGTGCTAAACATGTTAAACACAACTGCAGCTCTATCTCAACTGCACCAAGGAGTTGTAGAGGCTTCAATGTTCAAAGATCATCAGTTCTAGTCGAGGCTTCTTGCGAAGGGTGAGCTGCTTGAAGAGACAGCTTCTGGGTTTAAAGAGACATGCATATCAAAAAAGTTGAAAACTGTCTGCAAACAATCTATAATAAACTAACATTATTAGTAATATTCAAATATTGACATGTTGCGTATCTCCTGTCCTTTTATCACCAAAAACACTTCGAGTCCTCGAGATCCTGTCAACATTTGCGATGAAACCAACCCAAAACGTGACGTGATCTGACACAAGTCCCGAAGAAGAAAAAACATTCCAACACATTCCAACAGTTCTAGCGTAGCGCTCGGAATGTGCTGGATTCGCTGCTGAACGGCTGCAGTCCCCAGGTCTCTTTCGACTGTGACGACTGCTTAGCGCCGAGAGGCCTGTCAACTGGAAGACGGACAATCCCTTCCCTCTCCTGCGCCAAAAAACGGCGGCCGGGATGGTAAAGAACAGGAACTGCGGAGAGGTCCTGACCCACATCCTATTGTAAAGTGCATTGATTCAATGGGGCCATCAATGTTCGGAAGCAAAGAACAACGACCTTATGATTCTTGGAAAAAGAACAGCTATGGAGTCCTGACAACATGTTAATGTGAGCATCTTCTCAAAGTTATAATAGCAAAAAGACATCCTCGCCATGGGTCTTTTGTTGACACAATCACATATATTGAGAGTTGCTCACACATGTCTTCAGAGTGATGAAGTTGAATTTCCAGTGATCCTTCAGTGGGTCACTTGTGAGTCTGTGAGCATGCTGGGCTTACACATTGACCCTCCCAAAAGAAGGCATCATGGTCTCACTCCTCATACAGTATATAGATATAGATATCTATATAGATCCAGTCATAGATCGGTCCCTCCACACCGTCGGTGACCTCCTCTTGTTGCCGGTCATGATCTCCGTGACATCCTCCAAACTCAAAGGCTCCTGCAAAGCTACTGAGCTACTCCTCACTGTCCAACAAAGGATGAGTGTGAAAAGCGGCTTCGTGACTGACCATGAGATACCATGATCATCTGCAGAACAACACCTGGGATGTTTCTCTTACCAAGTTCTGTAAACAATTGGTGGAGCCCATCAATCGTATTCCCATTCGACACACATACACTTGCGCATACTTGTGCTGTGATCTCACATTCACATGACCAAGTTTCTGCCACGGAACTTCATCTCCACAGCACCCTGGATAGATATAATATGCCTCCTGAGGCCAAACGCATCAATTAATTACAGTAATAACTAGACTAATCAATCAGTGTGCCCAAAGCTCAGCTGTACCACCTAACCTCTCCAGAACCTTCCCATCCATCCCAGACTCGACTCGTCTGTTGGGGCCGCTCCACAGGAGAATAGTTGAGACGCTGGGCTAAGAAGCCACAGGAACGCGGCAAGCCTGACAAAATGCCTCGGGCGCCGTGAAGAAGCCCGTTGGAGCTCCAACTACCTCCATGGTTTGGGTGGGTGCCAGGAGGGTCCAGTCATACCTTCTGAGGTGATCCTTGGAGCCCGATAGGGGCAATGAAGAAGCACAGGAAGATGGGACAGGGGTGGGTGCCAGGGGGGCGCGTGCTCTTCGGCAAGGCTGGGCTTAACAGACCAAGTCATTGGGAGCGACATCATGCAGAAAGAATGACCTCAAGCGGTGGTGGTAGGAATTACATGGGGTTACAGTTATCCTGCTTATATATAACACAAGGTTCTTCTCCAGAAATCTCTTTTTGAACTCTTGCATCAATAAGTTTGAGGTCGGAAGGTTTTCGTAGTCAGATTTGTGTTCTGCCGCTTCAACATCAACATATATCAAAATCATTCCACCCAAGCAGCCGCGCCCCAGACACTCCGAGACACATTGGTACATCATCGCCTGTGCTGCCTTCCGTGTCTCGCCACTCAGCCTGCCGTCCGCCATCTGTGAGAGGCACTGCAGAATCTCTTCATCCAGTGCCATTCGGATCGTCGGCAGTGTGAGCATCTGTGCCTTAAGGTTGAGCTGCAGGAGCTAACTCAGGGAAGTGATTATCGATCCGACCACCCAGTGGTGACATATACGGGAGGGTACCAGTGAGTGCTTCAGGATATTCATCAAGCTAGATGTACAGGTTGGAGCTCCAACTCCGGAGAAGGTCGACATTCCAAACCTCAAAGACCTGCTCAACCCCTGCTTGTTCTCAGCTCCAAGCCTATCTGAAGGCCCCCCCCCTGGTTCGGAGGGCCCTGTATCAATACTTGGCCCCTACAGTGTAGGGGCCAAGTCTATATACAGGTCTCAGATTCAGGGTGTCCAGTAGATGCTTAAGAAACATCAGGGGCCTAATATCAATCATTGGCCCCTAAAGTCATTTCCAGGTCTCCATATGTCTCCATTCCCCTAGGGCTCCTGTCCCATGTCTCCTGTCTTGTTCGGTGAGCACAGACCCACCTGGCCAGTTTCGGAGGGGGCCAGGAGATCAAACAGGTTATATCCGCACCCTCCTCCACAACCCGTTGTTATATAAATCAAATGTTTGTATATCAAAATCAAATGCGTCATGTCTTCACAATATCTGAGCACCCTTGTGCTGCCACAAAACCACTCCACCCACCGCCCCGGCCCAGCGCCACGACAGCCCAAGGCGCCGTGCCCAAGGACCGCTCGTTGGGCCCGGAGACCTCGCGCTCCTCGGATCAGTGACCGTCGGGTGGTGAGAGGGACGGTGCCTGGGGATGTACCTGACAGAAAGTGTCAACTTAACTTTAGCTAACATGTAATCTGAATCAAATCCTTTCAACCAGTAATTTTTGACTTAATTAAGCTTTAGTTAAATCATGTGTGCAGGAAGCTACTGGTTAAAATGCTTTGCTTCAAATTAGATCAAATTAGCATGTAATAATATCAACACTCTGTTGCCATCAATCACCCCTTCCACTCCATCCATCCACCCACTCACCACCTCTGGCCGGCCGAGCGGCGCAAGGCCCCACCTTCGCCGGCCAGGTCGAGGCGCCCGAGTGGCGTCCAGACGGACGGCCGTCGGCCGTGGCGAAGGGATCGCCCCAGGACCAGGGAGAAGGCGACGAGGACGGCGCTGAGGACGAGGTGCCTGGTTGGATGGGCATAGCTCGGTAGGTGAGTGAACATGGAACTAAGAGGTGGAGGAAAATGGAAGGGAGATAGCGGGGATAGCTCTAGAAATCTTGTTTTAACAGAAAGCCTCATGAGAGATGCAAGTGCCAAGAAGGTATAGGGACTGACAAACACTGCAAATGTCAGCAAGAGCATGCAATGTTGTTAGCGAAACCACGAAACAACACAATCTGGGCTTCCTGCCCACATTATTCCATAACGAAACAAACCTCACCAACATCCACAAACATCCGCCCTCCCCGTGCTCCTTCAAAGCTTCCACTGCCCATCACCGGTACCCCTCCCCCATCCCACCCATCGACCTGAAACAGGCGCCGCCGTGGCTGTCACGACCGCCGTGGTTGTCGAGACCGTCGGGGTCTTCACGCAGCAGGTCTGGTAGCCGAACTTCGTGAAGAGCGGGCCATCCAGTTCGCGGACCAGCGCCTCCTGGTGGCTTGCCGGTGCTGAGTCCGGTGTTGGCAGCCGAACGTACAAGAAGGAAAGCCCAGCAACGGGTGTGTTGAATCTGCGTGAGGTCTCTCTTGTCAAAGGACTATACTTGGTGGATGAACACTTGCGTGCTTTTAGGAACTCCACAAAAAAAATGCAGCACCCTTCCCAGGAGAAGGCTATACTATATGCAGTCTGCAAGGCTATGTTTGACCTAGCGCAAAGGCATGTGGCAACGAATGGCTTCCATGGCGCAAGTTCGTCTAAAGCGATGCGGGCCGATGCCCTTGGACCGCTGCGGATTCTTCATCATCAGGTCTCTCGGACTCGCAACATCGAGTCCAAAAAAGTCCGAAGTCCGATTCCAACCACCATTCATTGATACCCAACCAGCGACCCGTTTGGGACTGCCATAGGACTGCCGAGAAACGGCCAGGGGTGGTGCCAGGGGGGTCAATTGATCGGCATATATGGCATACATGGAGTGTATGGGATAGAGATATACTATATATAGTCTTGACAAAATCATACCATTATACAAACATAATTTTGCACTACACCACCAGGTCACCCATTGTTTGAATGGTGGAACGGAAGGCTCCTGGAAACTCTCAGGTTCAGAACTCTTCCAAATGCTGTCCATCTTTAATTAGTCCATCGTTAGTGAAAGTCGGCTCAAACACTATAGATTCACGACCATAGACCATCTGCTAACATAAATTATAACGATTCTATATTATATTATAATGCCATCTGCCATCTATCAACGTTTTCCAACCAACTCAACTCACCGCAATTGGTCAAACCACACACATGCACGTCCAGGTTTGTCTATGCTGCCCCACTTCTCAGCCCATCACTCTCAGCCGCGACTGCCCGGTCCGTCTCGGCGTCGAAGAAGACTTCGCAGCGGCCGTGGTGCGATTCGCCGTGCGAGCCATCCGTCGCCTCCGGAACGCGCGCGGTGAATGCACGAGCAGAACGCACGAGGTGCGGAAGCTTCCGGGGATCCATGGCTTTTGCTCCGTGTCCGGCGTTTGGACCCATAGACAGGCGACATCCAAGTGTCGGAAAGCCACACCTTCTCGGTATGGGTGGATCCATTGAGGGATTGGTGGCCACTCTAGTCCCAAATGTGTTGGTTTGCCGGGGTTGGTGGTGTGAGTTGGAAGTTCTTTGCAGCGATCCATGCTAGAATAGAAGGAAGTTAAGTCGAGCATAGCATAGTTCCTAAATTTCAGTGGTCGAATACCAAGCTAAATTGGCAAAACACGCCTTGAGTGATTGGCCAAAACGGTACCAAAAAAAAAAAAACGCACACCAAAACAGCAACCTCTGAGATCCTCTGAGACCATTCCATGTTCGGTCTTCAGGACCGATAGACCTGGACCAACCGGACGGGTCGGGGAGACTGGTTTGGGTGCTTAGCCACACTCGAAAGCAGCTCAGAAGGCTTCACTCAAAACCTTACGTAGTAGTTCGACTCTAAACCTTTAGACGCACCACTCGCTCTAAACCGACTTGCTTCTTCATAGCACCTGGTTTGCACTGGTGAATCATTCGAACATCTGAAGATCTACCCAGAAAGTAACGGGAAGAAACGGACCAAACCTGGCACTTGCCACTAGTTCCTGTCACTTAGTTCCTGGAGAGATGGTTGAAGGGATATCGTACGTTTTGGGAAAACTTGATGTATCTTGATGTCAAATTCCAGACCTTTTCCAATTTGTGCTTGGATCAAAAAGCACATTCACCCAAAATAAGTTCCCGTATCTGCACATCCGCAGCCCGGGCACGTGCCGGCCCAACAAACAGCTTGCACCGGCACGTGCCGCTCGCCTCCAGCTGATCGAGCTTCACTGCGCCACGCGCCGCACCGCGCTCCGCACTGAAACGGTCTAAGCCTTGGAGAGCACAAGGTGCCACACCGTGCGTGACAGGATCACAAACCCTAGGCCTCCAGTCGTACCGAACCTGAGATGGCGGGACTGGGGTGGGTGCCAGGAGGGTCCAGTCATACCTTCTGAGGAGGTACTTGGAGGTGTAGGGAAAGAGATCATGTCATTCCCAAACACGACCACAATGTCTGGGACGGACTGGCATATGTAATATCCAAGACTTGGGTGGTTGAAAAGGGGACAATGTCTATAGGCATATAATGTTCCATACCTTGTGGTATACATGGAATGTCTGCGGATCTCGCAGCTTCCGGGGTCCTAAACTGCCAAAGGTCCTTGTTCTCGTGAGCGCTAGACCGGTTTGGAAGTCACCATGTCATGTCGGATTAACAGTTCCCGTTCACATCAAGATGATCTGCCTGCGGCTTGGACCGAGTCACCCCGCAGTTTCTACTCCAAGTCCCACTGAGAGGGCGACATCGTCCCCTCACCGAGTCCCTCTATGTCGTCACATGCTGTCGTCAAAGGGTAGGCTGGGCAGGCCCACCGTAATTGAAATGATTGACATCTCGGATTTCTGGCTTCACCGGAATCAGCTAAGTTCAAAGATTAATGTTGCAGCCATGAACGAGTAATCAATGAAGAAGCGAATTCCCATGCAAATCCCATGCCTGATCCCATGCACGTATACCAAGAAGTCTTCGCTGAACCGAGCCAATCATCTGCCAATGATCTGGGACGAGCAGCAACGCCTCAAATCCTGCCAAGTGAACAGATGTCAGACTCGCGCTATGAGACGCCATGCGGCATGAGACGTGCGGCTTGGTGAAGAACACCAGACCAGGGAAGAACACGCTTCAGGGGCACGGCACCTCTCAGGCTTTTCAGTTGGACATGGATCCAGATGGAACATATTATTATTTTGTTGCACCTCTTTAATTTGAGCTCCTTGGAGAACATTTGGGCTTATGGGCATATAGATTCTATTGATCATGTTGTCATCTGGGCGGATTCGCTGAGACTTGAAGACCTCATGTTTCCTATCTGCGAGTCCTCACACGAATCTGAACAAATTACCCAAGCGCCTAGTCTGCCCGTGAAGCCCTCGGTCCTCATCCATGGTCTCGGTGTGAAGCCAACAGTTCACCAGCTGATCAACATCCATCTGCTGCAAAGCTTTCACCATCCTCAGCTGTGCCAGCAGCCGTACCAATTTGCCCTAGCAACATTCACCCAAGCTGGTGAATGGAGGGCTTGGGTTGTTTTTGCTGAGGGGTGAAAACCATGAATCCGCAACTGATGTTGGGCTTGCCAGCCCTCTCTTGAGGACTTCAGGCAGGTTTCTGGATCAAACTCAGAGGTGGTCAACTCAAAGAAATCCAAAAGGACCCTCAGTGACCCTCGTGGTGCACCAAACTAGAGAGGGGATGTACCATATTCATCCACACCATAAGTGTATTGCTCTTGCATGCTATTATCCAATCAGTGTATTACCTTGAGATGGGTTGATCTGCTTCCTTACTACAAACTGGTGTATGCCAAGTAACATGCCAACCGACCCAGTTTTAGCCAACCACTCCGGGCTGATTCGATCCGAGAAGCTCCTGAGCCTCCGTTGGATCAACCTCTTTCACCAGCATGGCATTGTCCCGGATGTTCAACTGCGCTTCATGTCCCGCGTGATCACGTTTTCCGTCACGTGCGACGTCACGTGCGGTTCCGTCACGTGCGGTTCCGTCACGTGCGGTTCCGTCACGTGATCAGTCGTCATGATCAGGTTCATGGTCCTGTCCCACATGGTCGTGATGATACCAATTGGGTCCTCAATCCCGGTCCAGTCTCACCTGTCGGTCCAAGTCGGTCCAGTCTCCTGCTCACTCCGAACACAGAAAACATGGTGACGTGGATGGCACATGATGGCACCTGTTTGTCTTAAGGAAAGTCGTCCTCCTTAAGGGGTCATGCCATCCACGTAACCATGTGTTCGTCAGAGAGTCGTGCTTTTCGAAGAACTCCCAGCTCCGTCCGACCCGGACGTCCAGCCGGAGCGCCCGTGGTCGCAGTTGGAACTTCGGCCAAGGAGGTGGGTGACAGAGTGAATGGGCGCGTCAGACATGGGTCAGACATGGTCAGACGGTCAGAAAAAGCGAAGAAACTGGAACTGAACTTGGAAGTGGAACATGGCCCCGAAAGGAAGACTGTTTTCCTCTACTGACCAATACTAACTGGCCGTTTTCTAGGTTTCCACTTACATGCTTGTTGGAGGGAGGGATTCTCCCACGTTCAGGAAGAGTGCTTGGAGCACGTGTCACAAATGAATGCGGTGCAACCATTTTTTCAGATCCCAGTACGTCAACGCACCAGTTTCACCAGTTCTTGAGTAACGCACCAGTTTAATCAGTGCAGCAAAACGGGAGCTGGAGGATTGAAAAGGCTGTGAACAACCCGTGAAAAGGACGTGAAGAACCCGTGAACAGCCCGTGAAGAACAGGGTGAAAAGCCGTGAAACACCTGTGACAATTAGGTCTTGCAAGTCGGGAGGTGAAATGTGGTCCTTGACGCTAACGCACCAGTTTAACCCGTCGGACTTGCTGGGGATCGCAGATTCCCGTTTCTCTCAGCATTGCACCGTTGGTTTCGAGGCAGGTGGTGTTTGCAGCCCAGGCATCGAGCGTAACTCGGTGACGAATAACCGTAGCGGCCTGGAAACGCGCGAGTTATGTAGATCTCTTATAAAGCTGGCTTTACAATCCATGTCTGGGGTGCCTTTTATTCATCAAGAGCGACCAAAAATCCAATGCGTCTTCCCCGGAGTTTGCCTTTGGATCCCGGGAGATGTACTTGCCATAGAACCGTCCACTCCTGAGCTGGCTGCTGTCCACTCCATTCCCGTGAAGAACGATAGACCTTGTATATCGCCCCCTCCTTGGGAGGATTGTGAAGCTTTTTCTCTATCCACGTGGAAACTCCCAGCGACAGAAATTACTGTAATAGTCATGGATGTTTCCACAGTTCCAACCACTTAGCTAGGTAAAGGATCTCAAGCTGGCGCCATATTAGAACATCGACTCTATAAGACTCCAAAAATATCCACCATCTTTCACAGATCAGATACAATACACCGTCAATACACCCCATATCTCCACCACCACTATACTCCCTATACTCCACTCCAGAGCAGATCAAATTACACCCCCAATACTCCACCACCAGCAGATCTCCCTACACCCTCCATTACAACCCCTCCCCATACTCCACCACCACTATACTCCCTCTATCTCCCCGTACTTTTTCTCCTAACCTCCAGGTGTCCTACCTCCCTACTACGCACCACCACCACCTCTGTCTCTCCCCAGCTCCCTCCAACCAAGCGTCAACAGCCCGATCTTCACGCTTCCGTGGGCCAGAAATCGGATCCAGTCGCGGAAGCGCTGCACGTCCTGGCGGAAGCGCGATCAACGGACAAGGGTGACAAGCTTCACTGGGACAAAAGGAGGCAATCTCATGCAATATCTGTGCCAAAACATGAAGAAACTTAAATCATGAGACATATCAGCTGAAAGTAAACATACTATAGCAACGATTTTTTCGGATGGCTCTTGCCTCCGAAATCTATTCAGATCATACACTCTGGTTCTCTCCAAGTTGTTCTTCCTGTTCGACAATGCAAATCTGTATCCATGTCTGACTTAGATAGAAACATATTTTAGAAACCTGCATTTTGTTGAAAAGACTAAACATCTATTCCGGGATCACCAATACTGAGGAAGCGAAGGTTCGCCAGTCTGCCCGGTCAGACGCCTCCCCGCCAGTCGTCCTGCTGGCTGGTGAAGTTGGAGGCTGCATCCAATCCTCAGCAGTTGCGCGAGGGCTTCATCACAAGGCATTGGCAAAAGGACCTCACCAATCGCCGCACCCAGAAACAATGAAGAAGGACTACCAGGGGGCCATTCAACCTACCATGGTCGTGGTTTAGGTTTGGAACACCGTGATTTGAGCAAAGAGAATTCCTTGGCCATATTGTTTCAATCAAATATACTTGTTTCTTTCAAAAGGGCAACGCCCATACATGCTTCCTTCATCATGCAGTCTTAACTCTCCCCTTCTTCTCTCCTATGAGAACCCTATACTCAACCCACCCAGCCAAACTCAACTCTCTCCCAACCTCCTCTGCTCCCACCCCGCACCAACGCTCCAAGCCACCGACCAAGCGCAGGTAGTCCTTGGGACTCTTGCGCCGCAGGTCGTACATGAGCCCAGCGTGTCGCATGGGGTCCGATTGGAAGGCCCATAAGCTCAGATACCTGGGCGCTGCCCACCACGACCGGCGGCGGACGCGGCCCCAAACCCGGCGGACGCGGCACCAAACGCTGCTTCTGGCACCACACCGGAAGCGACGTCAGAGGCAGTGCTGCTGGGAATGTGCTGCGGTATATAGCTTCCTTTTTGAAGTGATCGAATGGCTGGGAGGCTGGGAATCCTGGTGCTACAAGTGAGCGGCAATTCTGCTGGTTTAAGTGAGTTCACGACTGATGGAGCTGAGCTTGCACTTTTGGACTGTTCTGTAGATTGTGGGTGGAATTATCAGATTATCATCAATGTATCCAATGCACTTCAACTGGCTGGGCGTTTCTGGTGTGGCTGCTCTGGTGAAGAGCATGGGTGGGGGCAGCCCAAAAACAAGGCCCAGGGCGTCTGACTATTGGCTGCAAAAATCTTGGCACCCCCTTGAATCAATTGTAGACACACATACAAATAGATACATCATGATATATCTAATTATATATCATCTGCCACCTATGTCGGCATAGTCACAACTAATACTAGCAAACTCCTCTTTCATAACCAACATACACGCTACAATGGGGGATCCACAGTCAGTCCAAAGGACAGGTTAAACGGTTCAACTGGTGCGTTAGGGTAACAAAAAACAACGTATATCACCTCCAAACTTCAGGAAGTATTTCACACTGTTTGAAACGTGCTGTTCATGGTTTTTTGTTCACATGCCATTTCAATCTTCCAGCTCCATGTACGTCAATAACTGGCTGTGTGGAACCACTGGGATTCTTCGCTCTGCGCCCTGCCGACCTCCTCGCCTCCAATTCCCTCCGAGGCTCGACTCGCAGGGATTCCGCACCGAGCCCACGACGAAGGATTCGGGTAAGTACTGCGAATGTAGGGCACTGGCCTCCGGCACCACCAGCAAGTCCTGGATTGAGATTGAGATGCGTGTTTGATGGTTTTTGTTTGTTTTTGGCTGGTTTAAATTCCTTTCGAAGGGTGGCTTTTTGACGAAGTTGGCAACCGAAGTTGGGGAGGGAAGTTGGCGGTATACCGACCACGTCTTCCGGCCTTTTGGTTGGGGGTGGTGTTTTGATGGATTGATGGGATCAGCTTAAGCAAGCTGGATGGAGTGTATGGCCAATACTGTAGGGTCCAGGTACCTCCTTTTCGGATGGTCTTGGAGGTGAGTACGTACTTCCAGAGAATGGTCGAACCGGGGGGTCAAAGGACATCCGAGCAACGGATGGTCCTGGACCCTTAGGGTGGTAGTAGACTGTCGGAAGAGAATGGCATAGAGAATGGCGTTTTGATTACCGAGGTGATGGAGCAGGGATTGACTGGATGACTAGAAGGGGAGGATGTCATGTGAGGACTTGAACTGGGATCGAGATTTGATCCCCCAACTGGTGTTTCAATGCATCAAATGGAGATTCAGCATTCTCCGGTCCAACCTGGATCCCATCATCCTATTTACAATCTCACGTTCAGGTTGATGGGAAGGAAGTCCAGTCTGATTCGTGCCCGTATCCAAACTACAAAACGTTGAACAAGTATTACAGTTGAAATGCCTTGCATGATGCACAACATCTGACACGACCTGAACACCACACAAGGTTAACTCCTTGGTTGGATCGTTTTCTTGGGCCCTCCCAGGTGGTGCAAAGCCTAGGCCAGACCTCCCTTCCACCAGGACCTCGACCACCGCAACCAAAAAGAAGTTCCGCACAATTCGAATCTCGCACGCGACGACCGCGATTGCGACGGCGACGGGACCTTCCCCACGACCGTGCGGAACTTCTGGATGGCATAACGGCTTCCAGTCCTTTTCCGCGCAGCTCGGTACAAAGAGAAAAGGGGGGTCAACATGCAGAAGTGCGGTGGCACCACCGGCAACCCCCCCCCCCCGGTGCTAAAACCCATGTGGATGGCCTGTTGGTCTGTCGGAAAGGGGTTGGGAACATGAGTTTTGCTCCAAACCAGGGGTGTTCCAAACAGCAACTTTAAGACCTCAACGTGGTGGAATCTAGGTTACTTCTCCACAACCAAACACGTCAAACAAGTACTTGATTACAGCCAGACTGGCCATCACAAAATGTCAATCGACTCATACTGTTGCTTGCAGGTGTGCTCTGCGACTTCGACATGAACCGTACGAAAAGGAGAGTTCCTCTTGTCCTCGTAATGAGGCTAGGCTTCACGAAGACCATTCTCCACCAAACGCTCTCTTTCCCTCTCTTCTTAGGACACCCAGTGGATTTTTTGATTATTTTAGTTCTGATGTGCTACGATGAGCTACCTGCAATATTATGGCCCCAAACGACTCTAGTTTTTCGGCCAAGCCTCTTTGGGAAGCGGGCAAAGGCCAGTTTCAATTTCTTCTGCTGAGCAAACTGAACCGCTGCAGTTGGCGCTGCGGGTGCCACACGCGGCGGCGGTGCCGGCGGCGGTGCCGGCGGTTCGGGTTTCCGCAGGGCTGGTGGAGCGGTTGGAGCAGTGGTGGGAGAGGTCCAGCTCTCCTGTCGCAGCTTTGGATCACTAGGATGTGCTTAAAGTATCTGGAAAAAAGGAACTTGACACCTCTCCACATCTCTCAATCATCAAACACTCATGTCCTAATTAAAGAAGAACACGCATACTGCATCATACTGCTACTCCATTATTGTAAATAGACTGATTATAGTGGTCCTCAAATAGATAGACACGGTGTCCAATACATTTTAAGTGGGGATCTATAATGATCTATATAAACCAAACCTCAACCAATCCACACACCCACCACTGAACGCTTCTCTTGTGTCGGAGCTGCAGGTGCTGCCGTGGAAGCCGAAGCCGGCGCTTCACTGTGGAAGCTGACCTTGGAGCGGACGGACAGCGGATCCTCAGCGGATCTCAAGTGAAAACCCGCCAAAAGCAATATAACAGAAAAAAAACACATACCCTATGCCAGGACCTTCCAACAGGTGGCTTTTGGACCCTATAACAGATGGTTTCTGGCATCTGATTATCAATCATGCCCATCACCTCCCTCAACTTGGACCGTCTCAAGACTTTGTCTAAGAGTGGCCTCTACTTCCTCTACAAAAAAAGGTCGCCTCTCTGGTCAGTGAACATGCCCAGGAGATTCACCGTCTCAACTAATTACTGCATCTCATACTTTCAAGGTCACCCCAGAACTTACTTTTGTCAAACAAAGATAAACGAAGGGTGATCATCTCCTTTGCATCATGTCATCGCCATGCCCAAGATTTGCCATGGTGTCTAATTACTGCATCCATGTTTCCATAACGTCATTTCTCCAGGTTCGCATGCCTCTGCCAAAGATGCTCTTATCCTCTCTCACACGTCCATATAACCAACCCACCACATCCAGCGCTGTGCCACGCTCTGCTACATACAAATGCTCCGGACGGTGCCAAACACTTGGAACTGAACCGATGATGAGGATGAGGATGAGGATGAAGATGATGACGATGATGAGGATGATGAGGATGAGGATGATGTTGAGGATGATGATGATGATGATGATGATGATGATGATGATGATGATGATGATGATGATGATGATGATGATGATGA